ACGGAAAAAAAAACAAAACCATTCCACATACAGTTCCTGTGAACACGCTTCAGCCTATGTGCTGTAACTACCTGTGCATTGAATGTGTATGTGCACGGTCTTGGTTATTTTTCTACTGCTCTGAATAGATGCATGTAATTGGGGCCTTGCTTACAGTTTTATAGTGAGCCCATGACCATCAGAGCAGGGAGCACAGCAGCAAGCAGGCATAGCCCTGGAGCAATAATTGAGTTTACATCTGATCTACAAGCAGGAGGCCGAGAGCAAGAGACTGGTCCTGGTGTGGGCTTCTGAAACTTCACTTTCTCCAACAAGGCCACACCTCCTAATCTGTCCCCAACAGTTCCACACACTTAAATATATGCGCCTACAGGCTCATTCTCATCCAAACTACCACTTGCACAAACACCTATATATACACACGTAGGCAAGAAGCAGGTAACCATGGTTACACCACTGCCCAAGGAAGGGAGCCATTAGAGACGCAGAGAGATCACACAGGACAGCTTTTAGCCACTTTGAACATTCTATCATGTGCACTAAGTATCTGAAAACACTAGACAAAACTACGCTGACATCTGTTGTTAAGATATATTGAGGTGGACTAGAGAGCAGCCCTAGATGCCCTTTTCAGCACCCGTATGGTGGCTCACAACCTTCTGGGACTCCAGTACCGAGAATGGCCACTGCAACATGCACAGATACACATGCAGGCAAAACAAACACACACAAGAAATAATATAATCAAAATTTTAAATAAGTATATTAAGGAAGGATTGCTTGTGAGGACTGGGGTTTTCCTTCGGCTGGCAGTGCTGGATACTAAATCCACTAACTGCCTTGACAGGATCGGCAGCCTCGATGGCACTGAGCTACCTTGCCCGATTTTTACTTTTTTACTTTGAGAGAGGCTGGCCTTGAACTCACTCTGTAATCCCAGGAAGGCCTTGAACTTGTGATCCTCCTGCCTCCAGGTACTGAGGAGCCATGATACCTACCAGGCCAGAACTACCAAGCCTGGTTAAAATACAGAGTTTATTTTTAAAGGGTAAGTTATGAAATAGGATGCTCAGTGCTATAGCTTTATGCCATAGAGGGACAGACACACAGACATACTACGAATTGTCAGAATGGAGTTAAAAGTAGTTTGATTTCCTATGTCCTCCATGTTTCTAATTTTCCTAAAATAAACAACTATTTTAGTACCAAAAATGCACTTTTAGATCTTGAATTTTTTTTTCCAATTTTCATTAACAACTTAAGTACCCTGATTCAACAGGCATGATGACCTCAACCTATGACCCCAAAACACAGCCAAAAGGACTGCAGGTTCTAAGCCAGCCTGGGCTACAGAGCAAAACCCCATCTAAATCAACCAACCAATAAATCCTTTGATTTCTTTTTTTATTAAAAATGTAAAGACTGTGGTATCTGCACAGCTGTACCCAGCCAGTTTAAATAAAGTTTGAGAGAGTCTCAAAAAAGATTTTACAACAGTCAACAATTAAAGCGGTAAATTAACCCCAAGAGGGTGTAAAATGAGCTTAGCCTGCAACAAAGGGCTCTTCGGCACACACCAGGGGGGCTGGGCCTTGCTTTGTTCTGCTGTGAACTGGGGGTGTCTAACATGTTTTCATTACACACACAGAGTATTCTGTTTTAAGCCACTCCCACTACTCGGCTTTACCCCAGGCAGGCTGCCGCAAAATGGGGACTGTTGAACAGAGAGAGTAATAACCTGGGCAGGCCATCCAGAGTCTAGGGAGCAGCCCCTTTGGGATGCGGCTTCCCTTTTAAATAAATGACATCCCAGATCTGCACTCTCTCTGAGGCTAAATGGCTAAACACTGACAAAACATCATCCTATTATTGTTCTTTTCCTATCTCCTCTTCTCTCCTCAGGTTTCTGGCACTGGCAAACTTTCCTCTTCTGCTTTAAAATATTGTTTTATTTAGGCTAACAACACGCTCAGCGGATGGGTGAGTGCTGCTGCCATGTTGCAGTGTGGAGGTGCTGATGGGCATGAGGGAGTCCTTGCTCATAAATATTTATTCAGCCCCTTAAAGGAGACAGAAGGGCTTGTTTTCACACAGGCATGCTCCAGTTACCAAGCGGCGACATAGGAAACACCACACAGGCTAAGTTTCCTGGGCCCGGCCTAATGCCTAAGAAACCCTTAAAAGGCATTACACCATTGAAGGTATTTTTGAGATCCCTTGCAACAGAAGGAAAGTCTGGACAGAAAGTAGTAAAATAAAATAGTAGAACCTGGACCACATACTACAAAGTATCAGAGAACATGACAGAAAATTGTTCCTTTTTAAGCTTATAGGTCTGTTAAGAAAAACAGTAACAAAAAAAAAAAAAAAAAAAAAAGATTTAGGGCACCAACAAACAAGAAAATGGATGGAAGACCTTTCCCAACAGAGGTGATGTAAGACAAGAAAGAGTGGAACCGTTGGTGATGCTCCACACCAAGAGACAAGTGTTAAGAAAACTGCAGGCCTACGAAATGTAAATCCAGACACTTTCCAATCTAGATTTTTTTTTTCAAAATAAATAAAAACAACTGTAATGGGAATTTTGGTTTCTGTAAAAATCTCAGTTATGTTATGTAAACATGTTTTTGTTTTAATCCCAGCTGTAGGTTTTGGGGCTGCTTTAGCTCGTCCGCAGCAGCTGATCATTTACCTCGTGCAGGCTCTTAGAAGGGCGTGACCTTTGCCAGCTGCAGATGGTTTAATTCGGAGGACTCTGGAGAAGGACAGATGCCAGAGCTGGGGTTGTGGGGGGTGATCCCCGAGGCTGTTCCTGTTAGCTGTCGATGCAGCTTGACAAGAAGTGAAAGCTATCCTAGACCAAAGATTGAACTTGCCCCAAGGAACCCGAGGACACCAACCAGCAGGAATTAGCTGAAGAAAAACTACAACCCCCATAACCTTTCTCTCCTACCTTGTGTTGGGGTATTATTAGGGATAAGGGGTGGAGAAGGGAGACAGAGGCCTAAGAACCCCAATAAAATAGATTTTAAAAAATACATGCCAACAAACAACAAAAGTAAAAAGGAGTCCAAACAATTAAGGACACAATCCGTTTGACACACTCTGTCCCACACAACAAAGTTTGCTAGTGAACCTCAGGCTTAAAATTGCATATCTCCCTTCCACCCCTCATCAAGAAGCCAGGAGTCCCACACAGACTCAATACAGAACTACCTGCTGTATCAGTTCAAAGGCCCTTTACAGGTAAAGCCATCTGCCCTGCCCAACACAGCCTTATCACAGAGAAAAAGGAGCTAGGGAGACAGAGGCTGGCAGCTGGCAGGAGCTGCACATGGGGCTTTTCATCTTAGGCATCAACAAGCCACACTGAGTGCCAACCCTGTTCCCGGGGATTGGCTGATGAGACGCAGGCAGGCCACCTGTCACAAAGGTGTAAGGAAATCCCAGCAAGAACTGGCCTTCTCCAAGGGGGCTGGGTGCACAACTGGAAACAATGATAGCCAACAAATGAACATCTCACACACAGAAAACACTTGAATATTGCCCAGACTCACATTACAAGTCCGAGAACTGGGAACCTTAAAAGACAAGTCCCATAAAACCACACAGACTGCTGGAATGCTGTGGCGCCAACAGCTGCTGGGCTAAAACATCCGCTCCATTAAAACCCAGACACCTAAACCAAACAGCACGCTAGCACAAGTGGCAAGCAGTGACCTAAAAATAACAGTACATCAAACATGGTACAAAAAAAAAAAAAGATTCATACACAAACACGCACATATGTACCCCGACACAGCCTGCTTGAAAAGTCAGATGGAACACAGTGCTTGCTTATACAGGTGTCCTGAGTTTTCCAATACCAACTTTCAAACTCATTGACCGACAAAGGACAATTCACCTCATTATCTCAGCCAACCTACACAGGTTCAAAGAAGGAATGCAAATCGTTAGTTTGCCCCCAACCCCAGAGCCAAACAATCCGGACAGTATATGTGCAGATAGGTACATGGGTAGCAAAGGTACAAAAATATAACACACTATGTAAGGTTTGTAAGCGCGCACACAGCGAGTGTGGAATTATCCTGCGGGATAAGGTGGGTTACTAGGTTAAAATAGTCTATCTTACAAATCAATCCTAAGTAAAATGCACACAGTACAAGTGAAAGGTGGTTTTATTTTCATTTGAGGGGAAAAAAAAAAAAACAAAAAACAGTTCATGCTTGAAACTCATACCAGCGGCAAACACCAGAGGCAAATAAGCAGAAAATGAGGTTCGCAAGGGGAATGCCTCCTGAACCCACTTCGAAACACTGGGTATTTTCCTTAGCACTCCTATACCCTTTCCAAGTCTGCCATTCATACCAGTTTCACAGCAGTGCAGGCAGTATTCCAGTTGAAAACCATACCCTGCTCTGGTCGCTTCTCCACTAAGATTCTTTTCCGGTCAGTTGACTTGCTGTCTTAGTAAAAAGAAAGCCACGGTGCACAGAACCAAGGGTCCCCAGCTGCGAGATTCACCCAGACCACGAAAGCTCCCTTCCCCCCCCCCAACCAAACCCACAGGCAGCACTCGACAGTCCAGGGACCCCCAGTGTAGCAAATATCGACACCCAAACACTATGGCCACAGGCTCGCGGGCCACCAAGAATCCCAACTGGCCAGCAGGAAGTCTTCACTCGCCGTGGTCCCAACTGAACGCCATCACTCCCAGGACACGGGGTGACCCTGGGGCCAGCGCGCTCACGGCGGTCCTCCCCGCGCGCCCCCTCACACCTCCGTGGGCTCCGGCCCCCCTTCCCTCCCCGACACACTCGCACGCGATCGCGCACCCTCGCCGGAGCGCGCCGGGGCACAGTCGCTCTCACTCCCGCGGCGCGGCGCGGCCCCTCCTCCCGCCCGGCGCTCAGCAGCGGCTCCCGGGCTCGGCCGAGCCCCGGACGCGTGCCGGGCCGGGGTCGGCGGGACGCCGTTCCGGGGAGCGAGCCGCCGCCTACCTTGCTCGCCGCGGTCCATGTCTGAGCCGCCTCGCTCTCGGCGCTCCGCCCGCCGCGCTCCCCCGCGCTGCTCCGCGCTGCTCCGCGCTCCGCCCGCGCACTACCCACCCCGGGCGTCGGCGCCGCCCTCCCGAGAGCCGGTCCCGGGCGTCACCGACCACCTGACCGCAACCTGTGCGCTCCGCCACGTCGGCGCGGGCGGCGGCGCCGGACGGGAGCGCGGGGGGTCGGGCGAGGCCGGGGACCGGCTGGGAGGGCAGGGGAAGGGGGGACGCCGAGGCTGGGCCAGCCGCCGCGAGCCGGTGGCGTTGGCACTTCACCCCCAAGTTTGCGACACGGAAAGTTTCCTCCCAGGCTCCGGCTTGGCGATTGCCCCTTTCTCCGCCCCTGCGCACCTGCTGGAGGGGGAAATCTGTTTGCGAGGAAGAACAAGTCGTTTGGGTGACTTAAATCAGTGTTCCTGAAGCCATAGCCAGTCATGTTTGGCTCAGAATAAACTCCAGTTCCGTCTGAAGAGATGTTTACATGTATATGTGTAAATCTGTGTGTGTGTGTGTGTGTGTGTATTCAACATTAAGATAACTTTGGCACGGAAGGAAATTCTATAATATAAAAAAGACTTTGAACTACGTATGTCTGGGAGCGCAGCTTAGTGGTAAAAGTGTAGACCTAGCATGCGCGGAGATGGCACCCTTGAGACCAGCGTGGACAATATAACAAGATGTAAGACCTTGACTCGAATAAAGAAAACATGTCTTATGCCTTACCTCTTGAAGAGTTTACATACTGGTTCTAGTGTGTACATTTTCTCGTTTTCCTTCCAGTTGGGGAACCCCGGGTTGTGCAACTGAAACACTGCCCAGGCAGACCCTTACAGGTGCAGATTGCTCTCAAGGCATGCGCAAAGTTTGCTGGTTGGAGCTCAAAGAGAGGGTTTAGAAAAATGACAGGAATTCCTTCTTGGCTGTAACGTTAAGAGCAAAACAGAGATTTCAGCACCAGGGAAGCAGAGGAAGGAGGGCCACAAGTTTGGAGCCAGGATGAGCTATATAGTCTACCATGGGGGGTAGGGTCAGGCAGGCAAGCAGGCAGGTGGGGGTGGGGGGCGTTTCCCTTTTACCTTTCTACTTACAAGAGCAATGGACATGGTGCAGATATGAGGAAGAAAGCCAGGAACAAGTAAGATAAAAAAGCAGAAAGCATGTAGTCACATAGACCTGCCTCTTACTGTAGAAAAATAAACGCCTGCTTTGTAAAGCCATCTGGGCTCTTGTTACATGGCTCAAGTGAAACCATGATACATCGGGGCATTTTCTGTAAGGCAGGCCACAGTCTCAGTATTTGGGAGATAGAGGCAGGAAGATTAGGAAGCCATGGTCACATCTGGATACATAAAGAGTTAGAAGTCAGCCTGCACTATGCGAGACCCTGTCTCAAAAACAGAGACAAGGGGTCAGAGATGTGGCTTAGTTCTTGCCTAGTGTGTATGAAGCCCAGGGATTACAGCTGTGCACCATAACGCTAAGTTTACACAGGATCTTGCTATATATTGCCCAGGCTGGCCTCAGAATCTCACTATCAGCCTCACAAGTGGCTGAGACTACAGACATGACCCGCAGTGTACTGCTAGGTATTTCTCTCAGCTAATCCATTAGTGAAATGATAGAGAAACAGTAGATCGTTTTCCCAAAACATTAACTGAAACAATCACGAGCCTTGAAGAGATTAGGAAAAAGTCATAGACTGACAATATGGCTCACTTACATAGGGTAACTTTAGAATGCAGAAGATACTAGGTTTGTTCCCTGGCCCTGTCACCAAATAAATAGATTAAGTAGTAAGTAAGTGGAAATTTGGTACTCTGCCCTCATCATACATACCCCCCCCCAAAAAAAAACTAAAAGCCAGCAAAAAGAACACAAAATATAGAGGCATCTGGAAGCTTTCTGAAGGGACACCCCTAAAGTTTGGGGGCAAGGGTACCAACAGAGACCCTGGCTTTCTCTGGTTCTCCCCTTGACCATACTTCCATCCAAGAGTGGCCATCAAAAAGGTTATCTTGGGGAAGAGGCCAAAAGCCCTGACAAATCATGCAGGCCTGCCAAGGCAGGAGATTTCAGAGGTGCATGCCCGCAGAGGGGTCGGCCACAGGTATGAAGGTGAGCATCTCTTTGTAACAAGGTCTCCTACCCCTAAAGAGAGGTACCAGTAGTCATTTTCTAAAGCCAAGAGCCAGTGCTGTGGCCTCCCAGAAGCCTGGACCTAGAATCGCCAGATAAAATAAAGAGCACTTAGTTCCATTTGAATTTCAAATAAATAAAAAACTTGTTTGTTTTAGTGTTAGTGTATCCACCGTAATATTTGCAATATGTTTCACTGAGAATTTTTCATTATTCACCCAAAATTTTTGGGCATCCTATATTTTTGTTTGCTAAATGTGACAATGCAGAGCAGCTCTGACTTGCTGACTAATCAAACTGTAATGAGTACCATTTGGAAGCCATCATCACCCAGGAGAAAGACAGGTACTCTCTAACTATACTGTGAACCTTCATTGGCTGTGAGGCCAAGAGGTCGAAAAAAAATCAAGATCAGCTTTGGAAAGAAATCTGTTTACTGTTACGCAATTAACACTGAATTGCATAAGACAATAGGATGGGTGTCTCTTATAACCTCACTGGTGTGTAGAAGACCGTGAAGATGAAATGAAGAAGTTAAGGGTGTACAGGAATGGGTGCGGACAGGAAAGAGCACATGGCGCTAATGGAGGTTTGACATGCAATCCCTAAGCAGTAACAGGAAGCGACCTCACAGCATTGATCTGGGCTATGTTAAGAAAAGCCATAGACCACTTAACCCCCACTGCAGGCCCTCTGAATTCTAGGGCTTTATCAAGCTACACCGTGAGAGCTGGGAGGGGAAGGAGGCACAGAAGGAACACGCCCCTTCTCTCCTGAGCATCCATCATTGCTGTCGTCAAGGGCTCTCATTTTCCCATCCATCCTGAAGACGACCCACGGGTATGAATGTCATCACTATTTTGAATCAATGATAATATAATTAACAATATGCTTCTTCTTTTTGTTCAGTTCTTGGAAATGAATCCAGGATGCTGCTTGCTCATGCTAGGTAAGGGTTATAGCATGTGAGCTACATGCCCAGACCTGGATATGAGTCAGTGTCTTACGGACCATTTCACTGTTTCAGGGATAAAGGTTAGCTTTCCTAAGAATCAGTATTCTTCTTGCACAAATAGGGTAGGCCAGGACTGCAACTGCAGGAACAGGGCTGAACTGCCCGCTGCTCAAAGGCCATGCTGCAAGGCCAGCTACCTAGCTGAATCAGCACTGAATGCCCCAGTGTCAACCAGCACCACCCTAAGATTCTCCTCCTCTCTAAAATCTCTGGTCATGCTTTATGATAAAAGCACCAAGTACCAAAAAGTATTGAAAAATGTATTCTATTAACATAAAATTTATATGCCATAAAATTCACTCTTTGGAAAGTGCAATGGTTTTACGTTATCTTCCCAACAAAGATCCATGCTTACTCCTCCCCAACGCTACTAAAATTACAGTAAGGTGATAAAAATCACAAGGACAAAGAGAGTGCACAAAGCTAAGTAATGATAATTGATCTCACAGAGCTGAGCAAGCCAAATGCTAAACCGGTGCTGGAGGGTGCCAAGAAGAGCCACATTTACGTGAAAAAATTAAAAAAAAAAAAAAAAAAACCCTCAAGACTTACCACTAGGAGTCTGTGGGTACAAAACGAGAGTTCGAAAGAGGAGGATAAAACCAGGAATGGTGGTACACGCCTGTAATCCCAGCATTCAAGAGGTAGAAGCAGGAGAATCAGAGGTTCAAGGTTATCCTTGGCTATATAGTGAGTTCCAGGCCAGGCTAGGCTGCGTGAGGCTCTGTCTCAAGAACAAAAAAAGCAAAAAGATGGGCTGATGGGTTAGTTAGGAAGAAGGCAGTCCTATCTCTCTCTCTCTCTCTCTCTTTCACACACACATGCAAACATATACACAGAGAGAGAAAGAGACAGAGAGAACAAAGAAGAAACCAAGGAGTTTGTGGTGATTTGAGTGCAGATGGTCCCCATGGGCTCATATATTGAAATGATTGGTTCCTAATTAGTAGATTTGTATGAGAAGGATTAGGAGGTGTGGCCTTGTTGGGAGATGTGTATCACTCGGGCAAGGTGGGGGGTGACTTTGAGGCTGCAAAAGCCAGCCTGAGGCCAAGGCTTCTTCCGGATCAGATGTAAGCTCTCCAGTGCCATGCCTGCCTGCCACCATGCTTCCCACCCTGATAATCCTAGACTAACCCTCTCAAACTGTAAGCAAGTCCCCAGTTAAATGGTCACATTTATAAGTTACCTTGGCTATGGTATCTCTTCACAGCCAGAGAACAGTAGCTAAGACGACTGGGTTTCTCTAAAGAAGAAAATTGAACAATCTCTTTCCTCTAGTGATCACAGAAGTTCTTTAGCAAGATACATTATGGGGGCTGAGATTCCCAACCCCCTCTGCTTGCTTGGTTTCCAGAATGTGAATAACCAGTCTGCTCTCTCTCTCTCTCTCTCTCTCTCTCTCTCTTTCTGTTTTGTTCTTGAGGCAGGGTTTCTCTGTGTACCAGTGCTGACTATCCTGTAACTCACTCTGTAGACCAGGCTAGCCTTGAGCTCACAGAGATACACCTACCTCTGCCTCCCAAGTGCTAGGATTAAAGGCCTGCATCACCACTACCCAGCCTGATCTGCTTTTTAATGGCCAGAGTAGACAGCCATGGACTAACAGAAAACTAAATCGAAGATAGAGACAAAAGTCACACTTAAAAAAAAAAAAAATTGCAGCTGGGCACAGTGGTGCATGACTATAATCCCAGCGTTTGGGGAAGCAAAGGCAGGCAAATCTCCGTGAGTTTGAGGCCAGCCAGGACTGCAAATTGAGTGCAGAACAGCCAAGGCTACACAGAAAAACCCTATCTTGAAAACAAACAAACAAACAAAAATTGCTCCCAGGAAAAAAGCTATACAAATTGAAGTAAATAAATGGACTTTTAAAGATGTCATTGCTATATCCAAGAGCACAAACCATCCTCTGGTTGGTGTGTGGTTCAGTGGTTGCGTGTGTGTGCAGCAAGGATACAGAAAAATACATGGATCCAGCTGGGAAGTGGTGACTCACACCTTTAGTCCCAGCACTTGGGAAGCAGAGGCAGGCAAATCCCTGAGATTGAGGCCAGCCTGGTCTACA